TCCTGCTTCTCCCCTTACACCTTAGCTTCCCTGTCGTCTTCTCCCCCTTCTATCTCCCCTATCGCAACTATAAAACCCGCAAGCGCGCCCGCAAACTTCTCTTACGTTCTCGACTCCTAAGCCAGCTTCCGAGAAGCAGTGGTTAGGCAGAGTGTGTTGAGGCGAGTCGAAAAGTCCTGTCGGGCTGACGATAGGCTGGCCGGTTGCGCGCTTGATCACCACGACGGACTGTGGGATCCGGGCGAACCACTCCGAGTTTACGACAGCGGGGTGACGATCGCAGTGGTGGGAGTTAGCACGCGACGGTCGGGATCGTCGGTGCGGGTATGAGGATTGATGATTGGAGTTGAGTGAGTGAATGGCCCGGGGCCATAGTGGAATTAACGGCGAATGCGCCTTTGTTGCGGGTTGTTATCGTTGGCGAGAGTGCAAGGCGGCGATGTCGAACTTTTATCTCTTCGGACCTTGTCACCTTCTATTTTGACTCTCGATCTCTCCTTGAATGATGATGCGTCTGAATGATTGCCCCGCTCTTGAATGGAAATGAGTCAGCATTCTGTGTGAAATAACTTATTTCGGAACTCTTTCATTAGTTTCCTGGGTAACCCTCCTACGCAAGGACCCAGTCTTCTCGTCTTGTGAAGGGTGGATGCGCGTGTCATGAGTAATGCGATCCATCTTTTCCTATACATGCCTCATTTTCGCTCCGTTCACAGTAGGATGCATGCATGGAATGTGTGACTCTTTGGTTGATTAGATGATTGCTGTTAGGAACATGTCCGAGAATGCAATAGTGTTTAAATTTGTAGCTCTGTTTGCAGGTCATCTGCCTTATACTGCACGATCTCAGCTGCCAAGCCACGAGGCGGCCCTGAGAAGCAACACGCCCAGGGACTAACGTTGTGTTGAACTAATCGAGCCCATAGCCATATGCGTGACCAGACTGATCTGTGTTGACTCTCTCTCTCCCTCTCTCTCTCTCTCGTGTCCGAAAGATTGATTAAGGGACGCGCGAATCGCTTTTGTTCTTAATGACGTCTCATGATATTTTGTGATCGATTGACATGTGGACCAACGAGTACCCTCCGACCGGGCGCCAACCTCCCGTATCTCCCATCCCAACGCGACCTTTTTCTTACAGTGAGAAAAGGACGCGTGTCTGTGAGTGGGACGTACGAGAAGCTGTCGCACGAATCGGCAGACACTACTTTTTCCCTCCCGAAAATCGTTGCTCTGGATTCATGGATGCCGGCTTTGTCATTATTGATACTCACTTCCCACCCTACTCGATATTACTCCCCTTTAACGAATTGATTGTCATCCCGTGGACGGCAGTGGCGCCTCATTGGCCTCGAACCTTATGCACGGAGTGCCAGCGCTTCGATCGAATCGAAAGGCTTTCACTACCGAATACGGAGTGAAGACGAGCACAAAGAAAGAGCCACACGGCTGAGACCATCCACGTCGGACTCGGAGCTAACCAGTGAACGACGACGGGACTTGATACGGAAACGAGATACGCGAAGCGTGCCAAAGCCTTTCCGTTCTAAACGACAGGCGGTAGCCCGGTGAGAGGTACGGTAATACTTTTTGGATTGAATTTGGATTTTTCCCTTCTTCCCGCCTTGCCCGCGCGTGCATTCCGCGACGCGTGAAAAAAATCGACTTGCTCCATCGGACCAACACGGGGGATCTCAGTTCTGTCTGTGTCCCCACACTCAATTTCCAAAAATCCTTGGCACACCCCATCTTGCTGTTTTTCTGGGCCTCTTTTCCATACGGCTCACACTCCGAACGGAAGACAGCACAGGGCGTGAGGTTGGTATCGGAGCCGACACGTGTCGGTTCTGATGATAGTAAGCCGAACTGGTGAGAGGTAGGAGGGACCCTCCACTAGCTCGTCGAGATCGCCCAGTGACCAGGTCTCAGTCTGGAGCGGCTGCACCCGCAACAATGGTAGACGGTACTAGAGTGATCATTAGCATCCTTGCCCCCTTCCCCTTCTTCCCCAACCATACCCATCCCGAGTCTTGGCTGGAAGTTGTCGAAGCTCAAAACTACGGCGCCACCGATCTCCCCCGAGTTCTGACATTGCTACTTCGTAATACGTCGCATGATTGGTTTAGAAAACATACGTGGGTAGATTGGGAGACTTTTAAGCGTGCATTCTTGGCTCGATTCGACACGGTTAGTGAAGATGCCGCCTGGTACGTGCTCAAAAACCGACCCCAAGGACCCGGAGAACTGTTACCCGATTTCGCTGATCGATTTCAAACCACATTGGATAAATCCGGGCGAGACGAGAAATCTGCCCGAGATTTGTTTATTGATGACCTTCGAAGTCCGACCTTGAAAGGGAAATTGCAGAAAAAGGTTCCGCCGAAAACAACCCAGTTATCGGCTATCATTACTAAAGCGTTGGAGCTAGACTTGGCTGATACAAAAAAATATATCAGCCAGGGAAACGAAGACATTACGGATACCATACGGGATTTCACGACTAAAAGGCGATCGTGGTTGCAGGCGGTCGAACGATTTTATCCCCGCCCCGACCATGACCTTCTCGGCGGAATCGTTTCCGATATCCCGACTGCTTCTCCTCCATCCTCCTCGGTGAATCAATCGATTGCAGCCATAAGAAGCGGGACTTCATCTGAACCCCCCTCGCTGGCCGTAACTAATCTACACCTTGCCCAAATGATCCATACGGCCACTACCAAGCAGTCCGAATGGATGAGCAACTTGATCCAAATGCAGACCGCTCATATGGAACGGATGAAACAGATAATGACCAGACTCATCAAGCCTAACCCAGCTCCTGCTCGGCCTGCCCCTGCACCGTTTTCACTCTTACCTGCTCCACAGGCTCCAGGATTTGCCCCTTAGTTTTCTCATCTAGCGAATCCAGCTAGAAAGATTGAGTGTTTTAACTGCAAACAGGCCGGGTATTTCGCCCGGGACTGTCCGCAGCCGAAACGTAATCAGCCGCTCCCCGCTGGGGCCCCTATTGCCCTCAATCAATGACGAATGACCGCTCTGATGGATACAGATCAAGGAAGAGAACTCGTGGCGTATGCCACAGAGAAGCCCTCCCCTTCGATGGCAACGGCATCAACATCGGGAGCTCCTTCTCCCGACGCTGCTGATGTGGTCGATCCTCTCGAGTATCTCCATCTCGCAGGCATGATCGGAGCCATCCGATCGGTCCCAGAGGATCTCGAGTGGATCGATCGCGAATCCAATCCAGGACCGCAGTTTCGGACAGGAGACATTGATGTACTGAAAACGCTCAAGCAGTTAGACATCCACCCTGTAGGGCATCTGCTCACCATATCTGAAGCAGCGAACGATAAACTTTTACAATACTGCCAGAAAAATCAAAAGTGTTTCACCTACCAACGCATACAATGGATGTTGAAAAAACAAGAAGAAACTGAGGAAGTGGTCTCCCCTGAGCCGGACACTAAAGAACCTGAAGCCGCACGCATCATAGCCGCCATCTCTTTAGCCGAAAAGGATCACTTCATACGAGCTTGGCCATTACTATGGAAAAGTGCGGAATGTGACTGTGAAGTTTGGGGTAAGCCGTTTAACGCCCTGATCGACACAGGGTCTTCTGCAGTGGCCATATCATTAGATACTATTTAAAAGACGGGACGACTTGGATCCATTCTTCCTCAATCTGGCAAAGACAACTATGTCTCTCCCGAGGAGGAAGCAATAAACATCGTAGGTGTTATCGAGAACGTAGCTATAAAGGTTGGGCGAGTACACGTCCTTGTTAATGCACTCGTAATAGATGTACGTTCCTACTCTGTATTGTTGGGATAACCTTGGGCGATGGCGGTGGGTGCACGTCTGCATTTCGATTCGAAACAATTGGTGCTCACACAAACTGGGGGAAAACCCCAGACTGTTCCTTTGCGGGTTTCCTCCCGAACAATCAAACGGGTTCCTAACTCGCCCCAAATAGGGATGATACGAGGCATTGATCCCGAGGAGTGCTCCCCCTCGCGCCTCGAGGATGGAGTCAGGAAGCAAGAATACGGAGAAGAGATGCTCGGTGAAGAGGAATGGAAACATCTGGTTGAACTTTTCGAACACGAAACCCCTAAAGAATTTCGAGTGTGCCCCGACACCGCTCGAAGCTCCCACGTGGATTCTAAAGACAGTACATTCACACCTCTAACAACCCAGGTCATTCCTTCAGTCCTCCTTGGGGAACCCCTCTTACAAGTTTTCGATCTGGCCGATGATTATGAACCCCCTCGCACCTTGTATGAGGGAGCTCTCTCCTTACGAACGCGTTATCAGCAGACGGAACATTATTTGGACGTTTCTGTTTTTCCACCCCGATCATTACTAACGACAGGAGTCACCATCGCCTTGATAAAACAAGAAGCGGAAGCACCGGTAAGTGACGTGCCGAATCTAATGCAAGAAATGACGGATCTAACAGGGCTAACTGTGGAACTGACTTCGGTTGGTTCAGAGACTGATGCTGAAACTAAAGAAACGGAGATGATCAGCCCCGCCGAGTCCCAGATGATAGCAACTGTCTTTTTTGTTCGCACCAGTAGTTCCGTTTTCTTTAGTGTCCATGAGCGGCGAGAACGACCGGTTGATTGGATCGATATGCCCTTTAATATGTCCGAGGAATCAACGATCCCCCTCTCGGGTCACGTTCCCGCAGAGCTTCGGAAGTCATTGATCTGTGTATTGAATGGTTACGCCGAAGTGTTGAGTGTGCATGACAATGATATTGGGTTAACTAATGTAATTGAATATGCCATTCTCACGGAAGATCATCTGCCCATTAGCTGCTCTCCCTACCGATACTCGCCAGCTCAACGAGCGACCGCCTTTAAGCGGATTAAGGAGTTCGAAGCTAATGGATGGATTGAACCCACTACGGGACCATGATCCTTCCCTGTAGTGATTGTACGTAAGAAGGCCAGAGGGATCCGCATTTGCATTGATTATCGAAAGCTAAATGACATCACGATTAAAGATGTGTACCCCTTCCCCCGGATTGATGAGTTATTGGATGTCATTGGGAGTGCTCGATTTTTCAGCAAGTTTGATGTTCGTCATGGGTTCCATCATCTTCTTGTCCAAAAGGAAGATCGACTGAAAACAGCATTTGTGTTTTTCGAAGGCACGTGGCAATGGATTCGATGTCCGATTGGTATTTGCAATGTCCCTGCGACTTTTCAGCGAGCCATGAATATGGTTTTTCAGAACTTTGTACGGAAGACTCTTTTGGCGCAGAGCATCATCAACTACTGCGTGATTGTGTACATGAATGACATCTTGGTGTATTCGAGCTCCTATGAAGGACACGTGCCGCATATCGAATGCGCACTGCATGCGTTACGAAATGTCTGTTTCAAGGTGGCGCTTGAGAAGATTCAGTTTTTCCTCACCACCATTTCCTTCCTAGGACACGTGGTGACAGATAAGGGACTCCAACCGGAGTCGCAGAAGGTGGCAGCTGTCAGAGACGCGCTAGTGCCTACCACTATTACGCAAGTTCGCGCCTTTCTGGGCCTAGCCTCGTATTACCGAAGATTTATCAAGGGCTTCGCGACGATTGTGGGACCCCTTACAAACCTCCTGCGCAAGGATCACCCGTTGATCTGGACGCCTGAGTGCGATCAAGCATTTTCCAAACTCAAGGCTGCTCTCATTTCGGCTCCGGTCCTTATAAGACCGGATCCCGAAAAACCTTTTGTTCTCATCACCAACTGGCAGCCGGAGGCGATTTCGACGATCCTTGCCTAGGTGGGACCAAGCGGACTCGAGAATGTGGTGGAGTATGCATCCAAATCAGTACCCGTCTGCAAGCGCAACTACGCCGCTCCGACGGGAGAATGCTATGCGGCTCTCTGGGGAATCAGTCACTTTCATTCTTACCTATATGGGCGAAAATTCACTCTAGTGACTGATCATGAACCCCTGTTGGCTCTAAAGAGGTCGAAGGATTACTAGGGCATGATTGGGCGATGGGCAACGGTGCTGCAGGGCATGGACTTTAACATCCGTCATCGGAAGCACGAGAGACATGGAAATGCGGATGGATTGACACGACTGCACCGGCCTGAGAAAGTTCCGAGGAATGAGGAGGTGATTCCGTGGAACGAACCCGAGCAGAAGATTGGACCTCGGTACGGTCAAGTGGAGATTTTATCGAAGCAGTAAGCGACGCGAGTACTCTCTCTCCACAGTTCAGTCCCGTCTCTTCCCCTCTGTCATCCTGATTACCCCGTCTACCTTCACAATCCCTTCTTCCCCTACTAATTCTGCTCCTCTTACTTCCTCAGCTTTCTTTGCCACCCTCCCCGACAAATTCTGTTATTTTTGCACATGCATTGCACGGGTTTATGGGGTCGACTGTCATCCCTTTGAAACTGGGTTTGTCGATTGGGTAGAATGTGCCACGTGTGTCAATCKTGCGCAYGGGGCCTGCGTACGATATCGGACGAGTAGCAAGGAATGGAGGTTCCCCCCTATGTAGAACGAACAAACTCCCCATGGAGGTTCGATTCGAGGCCGCCCATAGGGACGGCCCTGAATACGACGAAAAATACCGATGAGCGGAGGTTTGGACAGATAAAATTTTATTGGCAAAATTAGCAGGGTCATCATTGGGCCACCTCACCAAACACAATAGACGTAGGGCAACCGAGAGATCTCGGGACTATCGATGGATCAACGGTGACTTGGAAAAACGTAAAACTGATGGATCGGGTTCGTGGATGACAGTTCCCCATCCCTTCCAGAGATACGATTTGATCCGATCTACTTACGAGGAACAGGCCGCTCATTTCGCGATACGTGTCACGGAGGCAACTGTAGACCAGAATCGATTGTTCTGGTTCAATAAACGAGATGATGTCAAATACATTGTCGCTAATTGTCTGGTCTGTGCCGCTGATCGCGCCCCTATACGGGGACCACACACAATTGTACCAACGGAAGTAGAGCGTCCTTTCCAGCGAGTCAATATGGACACGACAGATATTGACGTGCCACCTGGCCCAAACCGCTGTGAATATTCTATTTTATTAGTGTTAATTGACCATTTTTCCAATTACATCGAAGTCTATCCCTATAAGACCCGAAAGGCCGCAGAAATGGCCACGTACATCGAGCGGTTCCTCTATACCGATCTAGATACGGAAGAAATTCTAACCGACAATGGATCTGAATTTAAAGGTGAGGTAGAAGAACTACTTACACGAAGGGGCGTCACGCTGCGACATACGGCACCCCACGTATCCCAGTCAAACGGGTTGGCCGAAAATGCCAACCGTTATGATTAAAACCGCCCTTCGCAGGAACTTAGCGGCACACGACACGCGTCCTTTACATGAGATCGTATATCAGATCGTCGGCATCCACCGGGTCACCCCTCATGAGTCTACGGGGTTCACCCCCTTTCAGCTTCGAACTAATAGCCTCCCCTTTGTCGATGACCGGGGTAACTCGGAAATTGTCGAAGCAGGGGGTAGAGACACGCGTGCGGCCCTCAAGGCCAAGGCCAAAAGGTACACTGATTTGATGGAACGGGCCGTTCCGAAGCTAGCCCGAAAAAGACAGAGGATGATTGAGCTGGCCCACGGTAGACAGGTCCGTAGCTACGAAGCCCGAAACGGAAATGCTGGGCCCCAGTATCAGTATGAGTTGGGGGACCTAGTGCAGGTACGTAAATGTCACGCGACCGGAAACTCGCTCCCAAGTTCTCTGGCTGTTTTCGCGTTGTCGAACTCGGGCCCAACGGTGCCAACACGGTGTGCATCGCGCCTGAGGCTAGCGCTAGCCGAAGCCCTGTCCCCATCGTCAGACATACCTCCTATCTCCGCCCCCTTCCTCCTTTTGATCTTCCTTTCTCTTCTTCCTCAGAAAGCGAGGAAAACGACGACGATGTAACTCTCTCTCCTCTTTCTCCCTCTTGTCCCTCGTCCTCCTCTCCGACCTCGCCATGAGTTTTATCATGGAGCGGGTTCTCGACTTACAGCTGCGGCAGCCACGAGGCTACCTCTCAAAAATTCGGCAAGTTTGTCACCCTCGGCTCAATACGGATCTCCGCCGTTTGATGTGATTCTTCTGCGACGAAGGTATCTGTGCCGCCGCCGCGTTTCGGATAGAAGGAAGCCCTCACGCGATAGTATTCGCGGAGGTTACTGCAGTTCATCGGCGAGCGGGTCCCAGAACGAGCCACGTCACCACTGTGGCCGGATTCACCGGCGACATYAGCTCGGTCAATCCGCTGAGGCACACCGAGATCTTGGCCTCGTTGCGTGAGTGGACGGAGCAATTGTCCGACGTGTGGCAGCACGTCCTCGCCCGGGAAGGGTATAACATTATCCCGATCTCAGCATCGGATCTGAACGGTATTCGCCGATCACCGTGCGAGCGGCCAGTTGTGATTCCTACCATCGTTCCCTTTCCCCATCCTCAATGAACCACGCCAATCTCCTCGCTCCTCTCTCTATCTTTGGTCTTCCCTCTCTCTTCCCTACCTTCTGGCAATCCGATTTTCACCCTTCTCTCTCCTTCTCGTTCGAGCCTCTTTCGGTCCCTTCTATCAATCCTGGACATTGGCAGCTGTGGCGCGAAAATTTTGAGGAGCTGTCCTTCTGCTTGGCCCGAGTACAAGTGAAGTGGACGGGCACTACCGAGTACCCCACGAGGATCGAGAACCCGGAGCTGCTGATCATACAGGGTTGGAGGACTAACGCGGAAGGAGACCTCATTGGATTCCTCTTTGGATCGGTGCGACCGGGTCGCCGTCAGTTGATTGCACAAGAGCTGATCGCACCGATCGTGCAATTGGCAGACGATCTCTCGCCCGACATCTACTTTCAGAGTGACAATAGTCCTGGTCCGTACATTTTCGAGCGATCCTTGGATCCGTACCTTCAGTGGACTTTGTGCTTGGAGGAACCTAGGGACGAGGATACACTACTATCGCGGCAGAAGTATCTGAAGCCGTACGAGATTCCTTACGCCTTCTACCCGAGGGCAAAAGAAGTGGTGATCAATGACGACGACGAAGAAGAGGGCGACGACGAGGAAACATCGGAGGAGGGAAACTATAGTGAACATAGCAAGGGCGAGCTAAGTGAAGAGGAAGAAGAAGAAAAAGAAGCCAGGTTTGAGCGGGAAGCCCCGCCGGAGGAAGCAACGTGTACGGGAACGGAGGCGGAAGATCAGGAAGCGGCGCAGAAGCGCGAAGAAATTGCCTCCGGAAAGCGCCAGCTGGAGTTTGCCAGTGAAGCTAGCCTGCGCCTCCGTAACGATCCGACCCAGGGACCAGAGCCGCCGAAGCCCGAAGATGGCCACCCTGCAGCCGCCACCTCCAGTACCGCGCGACGGAGATGGCGCCGATCCCCCTCCTCCTCCAGCCCCACCCGTCCCCCAGTTCGCCCACGTACCGATGCGGGCGATAGGCGTTCGTCCTCGGACGCTGTCCCGCCGACCCCTTGATTTCCTCACCCTCGAGCAGATCCGTACCCCCGTTACCTTCCCTCCCCATCCCTTCCATCCCCATCTCTTCGGCTGCTCCCACGTTTTGCTGGCATCTCCTGCTGTTCGGCGCTGCATGGGAGCAATTTAACGTGGTAGAGGTCTACTGCATTGCCACGGGGACAATCCCCGCCTGTCGCCACTTCGAGATCTTTCGAGCGGCGCTTTTCCGCACCCTCTCCTCCTTCTATCGCGATTACCTCGCTTCCCTCCCCCCCACTGGTGATCATTTCCCCCACTTCCACCGAATCATCCGATATGAGGAGCTCCCGGTGACGATGGAAGGGATGAATCATTTCCTACCCCCACTCCCACCCCGTCATCCCCGCGAGATCCCCGGCATGTACCGCCTCCACTGGCCTATCCCCACTAGGCGGTGGTAGATCCCATTCACTTGACCCCCCCCCCTCTCTTCTCCCTCCATCGACACAAGTTAGTAAGCTTCGTGAAGATCACGCCATCGATGATGACGTCAACCTACGCGCTGATTCAACAGACGGCAACGAACAGGGGTACAGAGCACACGGAGATCGGATGGACCATGATGGCGTCACCTGGACGATCGCCACGAGGCACAGGGTTGCATATGACAGGGTTCCGGGGATCTTTCCACGGATGTTGTCGCCATCTCATCCACAACCCAGTTATCGTTCCTTGTACTTATTTTGCTCTGTTGATACGCTTGGTTCCTCATGCATCACTCTGTTCTCCCCTCTTTCTTTCGCCATAACATGCAATCGGGAGATCGCATAATTTTGGAACCCCCTGCGCGTCACATATGTGACGAACCATTTCCCAACCCCATGCTATCTTTCGTACCCTTTCTTTTGCTTGTATCGTACCAACCCCAGGAAAGCCCGTTTTTTATTACTTGCTTTTGGGTACCGCATTTTCCTTTTTTTTTTAAAGCTTCTTTTTCGACTGCTGGGTTCTATTCTTCTTTTTTTGCAAAAGTTGAAAAATATATGGGAAGTTACGTGCGCCTTAGCGAGCGCACTGGGAATTAAGCTCAGCAGTTGGGAATTCCGGAACAAACGGAGCCCCGACGTGTCC